AACCCCATGCTCAACGATGATTTTTTTAAAAAATAAGGCGCTAGGCAGGTATTATGAGGGGAGAGGGTCGTACGAACTCACCCATTTCAATGCCCTTGTCTGAAAAATATTATAACACTCTCAAAAGTTTTCCGATCAAAGCTGTCACCCCAGACACTTGGTCCTTCATTCATGAGCCTGAAATAACGCTCTTCGAACGAACTGGCCAGGAGCGAATAAAAAAGTGACAAAAATTCTGACCCTTAGATAAGGCAGCGTTCAGACTTTGCGACAGCAGCGCTTCGGTCGCGCGTTCGACGCGATCGATGCAGTCGAAAGTATGCGCATCGATCGCGTCGAACGCCGACCGAAACGCTGCCATCGCAAAGTATGAACGATGCCTAACCAACTGAAAAGTGTCTCCCGACTGTATTCTTTATTAAGTTAAGTAACAATTTATATCAAGTAATACAGTAACAAAGACCGGGAATACATACTCTCATCTACGAAAACACTGTACTCCCGCATAAGACATCATAAATTAAAATGAGAACAGCCAACAACATTTGAGAATTCCTTTCCGAGGCACTAAACGCCACATCATACGGTAATTTGCTTGGAATAATTATTAATAGAAGTATTGAAATCAGCGCGGCATAAATTAGAAACATGGCGGTGGCTTCGTCAAATGCTTTCTTTGAGGGCGAGTTTACTTCTTTTTCGCTTCTTCTGCCTCTGCTGCTTCACGTTCTTGTTCTACCTGTTTCATTAGAGCTTCTACTTCTTCAACTGTGAGAACACGATGAGTGCATTCACCAGGCTAAAATTTTATAAATTTAATACGGTAGGGAAAAAGGCAAAAAGGAAAAATAAACGTAAAGGAACTATTCACTATGAATTTATCCAAAAAAACTACTAAAGAGGTGAAAAATCTCTAGAAAGCTTCGAGCAACTATATAACATTTATGGCTAAAATTTATCTACACTGAGCGCGCCAATGGATAGTTGCACTGGCTGGAGCATACTGTACTATACTTATTGCTCCTGCTTTCAGAATACCTCTCTTGCGGGATATAAGTCGCCCGTGTCTAAAGATCGGCTTCCGCATTGAGCGTTCGCAAAGAACCAACTTGGTTTTCCCACACTTTAATTCATTTCTCCATTGCAAATAAATTCTTCTTGTACCCCGGACAACAGGGTAATCTACTGGCCACAATCCCTGGGCTGGATATAAAAGTAATCAAAATAAAAACCAAGGCCTCTTAAGTTTTAGAGTGAACGGGCAAAGTAAAGCATTTTGTCAGTTCAGCAAAACATGATTGGAAAAGCTGTGAAGAAAGGTCTGAACCCCAGATCTCACGAAGATTATTCAACAGGCCATGAAGATGAGTGCGATGGGATGCCAAAGAAAGAACAAGGCGCTGGGACAGCTTCGCTGCTCCTAGTCGTTCAGAAAAACAATGTCGCCGTAGAAGTGGAAAAACAGTTGAAGAGCGGGTGGTGGTGAACGAAACGGAAATGTGCGGGAATCTGGACGAGCAAAGAAGCTTCCAAATTCAGAAATGATAGGATCAGTATGGGAGAAAAAAGAATCATCTGGAAGTCATAAAACTCACAACATTAGTTTTCTTCATTACGGCAATCTCGATATTTTGAGCACCCGATTGAACCACCTAAAATGTTAGGAGTTTAAGAAACTAGAATACTGCTACGAGAAAACTTTGGGACACCGATCTGATAAAAACCCAAATACTACAAATAGGAACAAGTAGCTAAGACGTGTCGGAGTAGTGCAGCGCTCCCACAAGAAATTTTCCGATCCCTCGAGCAAAAAAAAAGTCAGAATTACAGAAATCTGGCTAAAACTTGAAAAAATCTCTAACGAATAAACCAAACAAATCAGAAGTAAATGTGTGACCTGAGAAAGAGCCTTAACCACAAGTTTGAGAGTAGACGCCTCGTCCTTAATAGTGTCATCTCCGTAATGTTCTTCCAAATACTCGCGAACGGGTTTCTCACCGCGACCAGTAGAGTTCGCCTTAATCACCAATTTTATAGACTAACACACCCAATATCTGACCGATTCTGTGCAAAATGTAGAAAAACCAAAAGTAAATATAAAATTAAAGGGCATACCAGATATTCGTAATAAGCACCAGAAGGTTCCGTTTTGAAAAGCCGTGGATGTCCATCGAAATCGAAACCGCCAATCAACATCGAAATTCCAAACGGTCGGCGACCAGGAGATTGCGTGAAACGCTGCAAGAATTTAAAATCTGAAATTTTCTCCGCAGAAAAAAAAGAAATTTGACTAAACAAACCTGTTTAGTATTTGCGATGTACCTAGAAATGTATGCTACTGTCACAGGGTCTTCAAGAGTTAACTTGTATGATTGACATTCGATGCGAGCACGATCGACGAGTACACGAGCGTCAGCGGACAGACCTTAATGAAGAACTTAAGTCGCTTAGGCTTAAACCATAGTGGCAGATTCAGATAAGGCCGTGTTGAGTCCGCGACTAAGAAAATGTGCGAAAAGGAAAATATACGTATCGGTTCAGAATTCCGCAACTCGGGAGAACTGGTGTGAGTGATCCAAATCAATGATCCTTCTGAACTGCGCGCAGAACGTTGGGGGACAGAAACGTTCGATTTCCATCTAACTCGGATTACTCACATTATCAGAATATGAACATGGCCCTGGCCTTCCTCCAGGAGGCGCCACTTTTGGGCTATATATGATGAACAATGGTGATGACCTTGTACGAAATCCAAACTGAGTCTTGATCGCTGCAGACGCTAGGGCCTTTCAGAGGGCTGGGTTTGCGGGCAGCGCCAGCCTACTCTCCAATAGTTGTGGTCGCCTACAAGCTCCCACAACTGGTGTAGAACCTGCTAGGGCCTTACCAAACCCGAACCTTCAGAACGCCCCAGCGTCAGCAGCGAACAAACTGTATTCGGCGCTAGATATTCACGAAAAATGATTGACTTTACCAGCAAAAGCGAGCATCACATGGTCGTCGATCATATGGATCTTTCGGATCGTTCTGTCATCTTGGAGTGCCGGAATCGACTTCTTCTCCACACCGATCACGACGCAGTCCTTTCCTCGAACACCGACCTATAAACAACTGATGATAGCAAGCAGCGCAAAGTGGAACGACCATAAAATGAATCCATGATTCTCAGTCCATAAACCCCAATATACACCAAAGAACAGCGCAACAGCCATGAGAAACTAAAAGCGTAAGTTCCAGTGATAGGAAGCAATTCGAATAGTCAACAGTCAATCAGATTCATGGACGATAAAGAATCATTGAACAACTAGACACAGAACAATTTAAGGAGAATGACGGCCTAGAGGGCATTAAAGACTCTCTGCATCAATGGCCGCATTACCGCATCTCCTCCGGGCTGGTTCTCTCCTAGCTTAGGCAAAAATCCTCATCTCCGCTATGACAGTTGCTATGAAAACATAGAACTATCTTATTTAGAAGACTCCTGGCGCAAAACTGGGGCTACCTTACCCACACACCGGCTTCATCCCTCCGAGGCTCAGCCAAAAATCCTTATCTCTGTTACGGTAATCTCAGGTTTGCCCAAAGGGTATATACCCCTTCCCCTTGGTCAATTTGCGTCCAGTATGAATTTGACTGACTGTAGCCGCTATTTCGGCCCTCCTTCATTAGAAACCTCTATGTAGTAAAGGAGGTTCCATCAACGCTTGAGAACGGTATGAAGTCAGCTTGTAGAAACTACTCACACTTTACTGCCCCACTTTTTAAAATTCAGTCCATACCCTGAATGAATCTTTTTCGTGGGTCGAGGTTGACTGACCCTTTATGTTATTTCGCCCCATGAAAGGATATCACGCCCGTCTGGATCGGAACAACCTGGCGCTCGAGGCCACACGCGCCGGCCCCAGATCTCGAGACAGCAAATGTGCTGAAAACTTCTCCAAAGAGGAAGCTCTGGACCCAAAGCAAGACTATCACGTTTGCTTGGGGCGAAAATGCTTGGGACTGCCTTCAGCTTGTTGAGGTAAACTATTGCAAAATACGACTCCCCTCAAAATTTCTTTCTCTGGCACAACCCCCTTCCCATCCCCTACCTATCAACCTCCTAAATTTTCCCAACTTCTTACTATTACTCGAAAATTTCCAGTTTTCCCCAAAAATTTTGCCGGCCGACAGGGAGGTAAAAGAGGAAAACTGGAAAAGACAACGGCCGAAAATATACTTCTCAAAGACATATGACCCTCCCTTCTCCAGCAACGAAATACGACCCCCCCTGGTTTCAATGGGAGGGCAGTAAAGGGTTATTAGAGCTAACTCGCGAAATTAAATTCCTTAGAATATGTAAATGTTCCGCAGCAACCGGGGGATATTTTCATATAAGTCAAGGTCTAGCATGCAAAAAATGCATCGAACTCACTGCGGTGGAACCTTTCTTCACGGCTTCTTGTGCGTACTCAACCTGGAAAAGGTGTCCATCGGGTGAGAAGATTGTAATAGCGCGATCATAACGCTCCATCCTGAGACCCTGAAAAAGAATTCAGTTCTAGCTCTGTTTCACCCGAACTTGGGCAGAGAAGAACTCTATCCATCAATCAACAAACGAACGCATCTCAAAAAAGCATTAGCGAAATGGAGTAGGAACAAAGGCTTCAGTGATTATAAGAAGGAGGAATAATGAAGAGGGGAACATCTGGTAGCACAATTCGCTTCTATAGGTTTAGCTCCGCTTCGATAGTGAGCAGCCAGAAAACCTATTTTCATTACACAAGTAAAGGCAGTAAATTGAGGATCACTGCCTAAGTGGACTCGCCTCCGCAGCATTAATGAGAGCAACCCTTGAACCAGTAGAAATACAGAGCCTACACAAACAATGGAATGTGGCACCCTTGCAGGTACACTGATCTCGAGAATTTTGAAGACTGGTATTTCTCAAACATATTACCAAAGTAGTTTCAATGGTTGCCTACAGGTAACACGAAAAACGCGAATCGAATATTCTGAAAATATCACCCCTTTTCAAAATCATCATGCTACAAACGTTATTAAAGGTGAAGATGAGTTCGATTGGAGCATCTGTCGCGCGAGCGGCCCTTCAAACGATTGGTGGTCAAGTTCAAAATCGTTCGCCTTTGCGAATTGGAATGCTTTCTATTTTTTGCAACTACTTCGATATCTTTTACCTCTCTGTTAATTGGCTCTTTTAACTGACGAAGCAACTATTTTGGCATCACGGACTCTCTGCCAGGGCCTTTTTTCGACATATTCTTATATTTTATGTTCTGAGCGCTTCGTAATAATTTCTCCTAAGTAATTCCTTTAGCCTCAGCTATATGTACTAATTTCCGTTCATTTTAACTTAAGTCTAGGTTTAATACATTGTGGCTTTTCGTAAATAATTTCCATTTAGTAGAGAAACGACACGATAAGGATTGACCTGCAACTCTGCCATTTATAGCGCCCTATGAGATATGTCCATTTATAGCGCCCTACTTGAGACACCTTTTCTAGCTTGCTCACAGACTATTATGCCGCCATGATAGCTAAGCAAAACCGCAAAAAAAAAAAAAAAAAATACAGCACTCTTTTCTCCTTTGACATTGTTAGCTTGAGATTGCAAGCTCTTTTGGTGCAGTTCGGTGAGGGAGGGGCACTTCACTTTCCACTGCATCCTGGTTTTATGTTCATTGCCTTCAAGAGGTCACAGGTTTTCGTTACAAGAGTTGAAGACTTTTCGGAAACTTTGGCTGGTATCATTTCGTGATTTCACAAGACTTACGGATTTCCACCCATTGCTCGACACGACAGTGGGAAGAAAGAACATGCGAAATGCCGAACTGCGCCAACTTTTCTTTCGAACTTTTTGTTCCTTGCAGTTCGTTTTTTACCGCATTCTCATGGGTTCTTCTGTAATGAAATATTGCCGGCAACCTCATTAACCAGCAGATCTCCAACAATAACAATTTTGCCATGATTCGATTATTTATTAGATACACATAAGAATACATCACATTAGAGGAGCATGATCCGCTAAACCGAAGTATCAGGTCCGAGAGCTACTTAAAAACTCTTAGCAATCTTAAAAGTCCAGTAAAATGTTAACAGGATAGTCCCCGGATAGCTAATCAATGACAGACCTTTTCAACATAAGAAAGTAGGTATTTCATATAAGATCGGATTATAAGGCATCTATCAAATGAATATCCTTGCTGGGAGGGTCCAGTGAACCAAAATGTGGTTGATTAGTTGAAGGCAGGAGAATAAAGAAGGGAGAGAGGAAGAAGAAAGTAGGAAGCAAAAAGCAATAGGAGTGAGCCTCCACGGTGCTGACATCGATGTCAACTTCAACAAAACCATCTTGACTTCCATAACAACAAGTGAACCAAAATGAGGCTAGGCTTTGAGATTT